CCCTTCCCTATGTTACTTCATATGGTTCAGAATCCTCCATAGTCTCCCGTGGGGTGAATCTGATTCAGCCAGCGAGTCCTTGTTTGCATGAACTTATGTGTCCTCAAAAGATAACAATTGTGCTTTAACTGAGGCCTTTGATGATATAATCCAATGGAATAAAAGCACATCAACTTCCCCCCTCACCTGGCTGTGGTTTAGCCATTGTCTGGGAATAGCATTCTAGATAGATCCTTGCTTCTCAGAGTCTGTGGACCAACAGCATGGCCACTACCCTGGAATTTGCCAGAATCTCAGCCCTTGTTCCAGACCTACTATTTGGGAATTATTTCAGAAACACCTCAGGTGATTCCTGTACCCATAAAAGTGTGAGTAGCACTTCTATAGTAAGGAACAGCTAAGTGATGTAACAGGTGAGGATTCCTTTACAGGAAGAAAAGGTGTGTCCAAGCTTTTTACAAAGAGCAGTTACTTCAGAGCCCTGGGGATGGAGCTCTCATTGCTGCCACTTGGAGAACGTGGCATCTCATGAGGACCCAGCTGCTAATCTGCCATGCTGGATCTCTGGAGCTTCGAGGAGAGTCAGGCTCCAGTTACTGGAATCAGAGGGCTAATTGGCCCCACGTGGCGCCAAATCCTGCCACTCGCAAGGGGAGTGACAAGACTCCCCAAGGAGCCAACCAAATGTAAAGAAAAGGGAGCCAAAAGCAAGGAGGGATGGAGAAATAAAAACAGACACCTTTAAATGTAACTCTTACAAATCTATCTCCCTGCCTAGAAGTACAAGGAGGAAGAGTATTAGCTCAGAACCATTTTGTCGTCTTCTCTGTTCTTCTGTCCTTTTGTTGCATCCTACCTAGCAACAGTAGTTAGTATGAGCTCCAGCTACCAGTCCGTTTTTGGACAGTGATGGGGGCAAGGTTCAGTTTAGCCCACAGAGGAGTTAGGGCATCCAGATGGAGTCAGGTCGACTGAGAGCTTGGTCAGGGAAAGGGCTGCCTGGGAATCAAGGGGATGGAGTGCATTGTGGGGCTGTCTCTTAGAAGTAAGGAGTTGATGGAGGAAGGGCCAGGACTGTATGAGACTGGTGAGGTTTATCTTCGGCTCCCTTTCTCTGCTCCTCTGACCACCCTGAATAATGCTACCAGTAATATTGACACCTCTACATTTGTGTGATATGTTTAACCTCCCTAAGTGCTTCTGTAGCCATGATCTCATTTCATTTTCCCAACAACGCAGAGTGAATGGGATCAGAGACAGGTTAATTATGATGTGGGCTGAGCATCCAAGCCGGGCCAGAACATAGAGTGCTGCTGGCCATAGGATCAAAGCAGCCCTGCAGTGGAGACTCTAGATACTGAGAGGGTCTAGGACCCTAAGAAGATGCAGGTGGGGGTACTGGGCTTGTGAGCTGTGTCCAAGAGATTTGGTTCCAGCTAGACTGCTAATGTGCTCAGCCTTTCCTTCTTCATCTACTTTGGAGCCTGGGGTGGAGGAGGAGGAGTCACCTAGTCTATTTGGCAGGACAGTGAGAGGGGATAATGGATGTGAAAGTACCTTTTCTCAAATGAGGTAATGGGTGTAGAAATGCAAAGGACCACATGGATCTAAAGTGTTGTTATCATTAGGCAGAAGAGAAAGGCTAAACCCTTACCTGGGTCACTGAATGAAAAGGACGAGCCTGGCACAGGGTGATGGGAGACATTTAGGGATCTCAAGAAAGAAGGAGACAGAATTAAAGAATTGCATGCTTTGGTGCAAAAGAAGAGAAGAAAATAGCAGGTCCCAGAAATAAAGCAGGAGCAGGGAGCACAAGTTTGGCTGCTTCCCAATTTTGTCCAGGGTCGCCCTGTTTGAGGGGACTAGAAGCTAAACATCTTTCAAAGTCAAATTGCCTGTTTCCCCAAGGAGGGAAGTCATGTGACTCACGGACAGCTGAGCTCCTGTCATCCATCACTGCTTGCCTTCAGTGTCTCCCAAGTCTCCAGGCATTTAGCAAATTTCAGAGGGACTGAGCCGCAGACACTGAAAGATGCAAACCCAGGAGGGAAGTAACCGCCTCCACCTGAATTGTAAAATGGCCTTCTGGTCTGTGAATGGAGGCATTCCCCCACCTGTCTACCCACCCTAGATGCCCAAGAAGGCCCAGACAGTGTGAGGAAGGGGCTGCTTACAGAATTGAGAGAGGATGCAGTTATGGATGATGAGTCCAGTCCAATTTGGGACAACCTTAAGCAGGGATCAAATAGGTTCCAGTCACATCTGGGGAAGTGCCTGTCATGGTGGGAAAGATACTGGGCCCCCTATGGGAAGATGGGGCATGCCCATGGGCAGTGCTTAGGTTCTTATTTTTCCAGCTAATACAATCCCCACTTCCTCCATGGACTCTTCTCCACTTTTCCACCCCTCCTCTGAACACCCAAGTTGGCACTAGAGTTTGCCTGCTAATCTCAGCACTCTCAATCTCTTGTGAATTGGACACTAGTCTTCTCCTCCAGCTGAATGGGAAGCTCTTTTTGAATCTTTTTTTTTTTTTTGAACCCAGGAGAATTCGACCACTGAGCCACATTCCCAGCCCTAGTTTGTATTTCATTTAGAGACAGGATCTCACTGACTTGTTAAGCACCTTGCTGTTTTGTTGCTGAGGCTGGCTCTGAATTCGTGATCCTGCTGCCTCAGCCTCCTGAGCTGCTGGGATTATACAGGTGTGCACCACTGCGCCTTGCCTAGAAGCTCTTTGTAGATAGGGATCTGTGACTTCTCTTGTATCCCACAGACCTCAGGACTGAGTAGGCACTGAATAAATACTTGTTGATTGACTAACATGAGTTGAAAACTAATGCAAAATATTCATGTCACAAAAGGCTCATCAGTTGCTCTGGCTTTAGGAAGGCCCATTTTATTAGTGCTGGTGCTACCTCAAGGCCCACTAGAGACTGAAGTGTTCCCAACTTCAGAAAAAAGGGGCAAAGCTGAGGCTTTAGTGGCCAGTGAGTGGGGGTACTGAGTATAGGACAATGTACCCAGTGCTTCCACAGCACGTGGGCATCTCCCTTGCCAGTGTTCTGCTTCTACACCAGGGGCTCTGCAGCCTCACAGGCACTTGTCCACCAACCTGCCCCACCTGGTGCCCACATGAGAAATGAGCTAGTGTTTTCTCAGGAAGAGGCCCTTTAGCACTGATGAGGTTGGCTGGCAGGAGTCAGAAGTCTTATTTGAGAAGCAGTCCCCAGGATGAGGCAAGATGGCAGCTGCTGGAAGATGTTCTTTGGCTCCCTTCAAAACTGAGCTCCTGCCTGTCACCAGCAGCAAAAATGAGAGAGGTGCCAGTCTGAAGCCACCTTTGCAAAGTCCCTGTCCCGGGAGGGTGCCTATCAAGGACACTGGCCAGCCACATTCCAACTTCTGAGTGTTTTCAGTTATAAAGTGATAATTTATCTCATCAGGGTGGGACCGAGAGAGCCACCTTCTGAATTCACTTTCTGGAGGCTTGACCTCATCCTAGCATCCCCCACTGTTCTCCTCTATGGGGTGAGAGACAGTCTCTAAGCCAGCTTGGGTGCAGCCTGAGTGGATGTGGCCTGATGCAAGTCAGACATGGTCTGTTTTCCTTCCCAAGTTCTGGTATGATGGCAACAACTCCAGTCTTCTTTGCTGGCCCATGAATTTCTCTTTCATACAGTTACTCTAAGTCTTATACACTTCCCCCACAAGTAGACCTAATGCTCCACTATAATTATTTGATTTGTGTCCTGATAAACAACCTAACTGCTTGAAACTGTTTGCCACTGATGAATTTAGTATTTTTAGCTAGTTAACAGTTACCTCACTCTCATAGTGTCAAAACCTCCTACTTCTTTTACAAACCTTGTATTAGTTTGATCAATTAACTTCTGGCCCTTTGTATCTTATTCTGAAGGGCCCTGCCTGAGATCTTAAATTCAGAGAATATACATACTCATGCAGGGGAACCTAAGCCCATTTGGTAGGCCTAAAAGTCTAGGGGTGAAGTGGTGCCAAGTTGGGGAGCCAAGGCTCTGGGTCACTTGGCTCTGGACCCCTCTATTCCACCCCCACCTGCCCTACTCTTTTTCTGGGCCATCATTCCCCTGGCGCCCTGTGCTCTCACAGTGCCCCAGTGCCCTCACCCTCAGGGCTTTCCATATGAACACGACATTCAGGCCTATCTCACCCTGGCCCTTGATGTAGAAGCTTTATAAAGCTCTTGTGTAATTCCTAAGCTTCAGTAACTTTTAAGTTGTGGGCATCTGGAGAACAATCTGTAATCTCTCCCAGGTGTTAGGGGAGCACTTTCTCTTCTGCCAGTTTCTCTGGGTTTCAGGTCTGTGAGCAGCCTCGGAATACAGCTCCCCATATAGCCCACAGGAGCCATTTTCCAGCTGTCCCACTAGGTGAAGTAAGTTGGCATAATGTACCATTACGTAAAGTAGTGGTCCTAAACATGAGCATACATGTTTATATATGCCACCCCAATAGTTCCTTTTTAGATACCACCTAAGAGATATTAAAGTTTCAAATGACACAAGGACTTCATGAAGATGCTCCACATTCTGGAATGACTTCACATTCTTTTCCCACTCTGTCTGTTTTCATTACCCATTCCCTCAAAGTTCTGATTTCCCTTAGGGAGTTAATAGCCAATTAAAATGGGTGATGCCAGTGGACTTCAGAATGACCCATTTGCACTTAGGGTTCTTCTGGCATCCCAATGCCTTGAAGTTTAATCTCAGACTTCATGGCACCAGTTTCTTCTACTGGCTCCAGGCCTAAAGACAAGTGACTTCTCCTTCCTAGCTTCCTCTTTCTCCAATCTGAAATATGAGGCTGTCATCACTTCTGTTGATTTTAGAGGATGTAGGAAATTAAGCTGTGACCTCCCAGGTGCCATGGCCAGAACCCTAACCAGTGTCTCACCCAGCTGGTTCTGAGGTTTAGTTCCCTTTGCATCTTCTTTTGCTCCCATCTTCCCCTTCCCCCAGTCATGTGATGCAGGAAGAGAGCGCAAATGATATGGAATGTGAGCAACTGCCAGCAGGGACGCTGCATCAAGTGACCATTCACCGAGACCCTATATATGGCTTTGGCTTCGTGGCCGGCAGTGAGAGGCCTGTGGTGGTTCGATCTGTGAGGCCAGGTAGGTGTCCCTCGTAGTGTCCCTCTAGCCCTAGCTCCTATCCCCCCACACCTAACTGGTCTGCCCAGAGAGCACAGTGCCCAAGTACACTGTGTTCCTAAAGAATTCATGAAGAGTGGGTAAAGACTTGCCTACCAATAACAGTGTTTAAGACTGATTAGCCCAAACCATTGAGGTAGCTTGGAGCCTTAGAGGCTGTAGTTGATTGTTTCATAGAACATGGGTCTTAATAAAGCTTTCCTTTGCATAGTACATTCAAAGAAGAGCCACAATGCCTTGGATGACAAAGTGCCATTTATTCAATTCAACAAGTATTTATAGATCACCTACTCTAAGCCCAGAAATGTGGTAGGGAAGTACAAGACACAGTTCCTGTCCACAAGAATCTAATCATCAGGCTGTGGAGACTGGTAAAAACTCATGAAATAAGCTAGGCACAGTGGTACACATCTGTAATCCCAGTGACTGTGGAGGCTGAGGCAGGAGGATTGCACGTTTGAGGCCGACATTAGCAACTTAGTGAGACCCTGTCTCAAAACAGAAAATAAAAAATTATCTTGGTGGTAAAGCACCCCTGGATTCAATCTCCACTATCACAAAGGAAAAAAGAAAAGTACGTCAGCCACTAAAGACTGGAATTAGGATAGAGACAACAGATGAGATAGGAGGAGGGAGGAGAATGAAATATCTGAATGCCACAGTGGCAATAACAATAGCTACCATTGATTAAGCATCTGCTACTATGCACTTTACATCATCTTGTTTAATCCTCACAGCCAAGCCTACAAGATAAGTGATACCTTTCCCATTGTACAAATGAGGAAACCAAGGCACAGAGGAGGAGGAATGATGTGTCCAGGGCCACTGAGCTAGGAACCAGCAGAGCCAGTGTTTGCTCCAGGGTCTATGTGTTACCATGAGGGGGATACAGGGAATTGATAGGGACCATCTGGAAAGGAACAAGCAAAAGCTCCCCTAAACTATGAATGATACAGGAAAAGGCTGAAGCACTGTTTTGTTCCAAATCTGCTATCATTGACAGAAGATAGACAGAAAGGAGCTTTATTCCTGACTTGCTGGGCCTGAGGCTTTAGATGTTTACAACAGTTTCTCGCTCAGTCAAGAGAAGCAGCCAGAGTACAAACTGGTCTTGCAGAAATTTGATGAATTTTGCAATCCTCAAAGGAAAAGAAAAAGATTGTGTAAACCCTCTTCAACTATATGCCACAGAGAAAAAAAATCAATTCAGGAGTTAGGGGCTGACCTAAGGCTCCCAAGACAGTCCTGCTGTTTGACAGGAGAGTTTTGAATCTTTGATCAGAAATCAAATTTGTCCTCAGAAAAAAGGACCAGGTAAAACTTGGTAATGGACCACCAGGCACCCCTGCTTTAGCTTCAAAGGAGACGGAATCATAATTTGTAGGGCCAAAGAAAGCTCCTAGGCCTAGAGAGGGTTAACTGCAAAAGGTATAAGATAAAGATGCAAGAGAAGCCAGACATGGTGACACACACCTGTAATTCCAGCAGCTTGGGAGCCTGAGGCAAGAGAATCGTGAGTTCCAAGCCAGCCTCAGCAACAGTGAGGCACTAAGCAACTCAGTGAGACCCTGTCTCTAAATAAAATACAAAATAGGGCTGGGGATGTGGCTCAGTGGTCGAGTGCCCCTGAGTTCAATCCCTGGTAAACCCCCCAATCCCCAAAAAAAAGATGAAGGAGGAGTTGGAGGGGTGAAGAGAAGACCCCAGGAGAGAGCCACAAAAAGCCGTGTAGTAAATGGCACAGCCCTATTAGAGATTCAGGCTGAACCATGTTGCAGCATCTGCTCAGGCAGCTGCCAAGTGGTTCAGTGTTTGAGGACATAAGAAAAGACAAAGAAGGATTCTACACAGGAGCAATTGCAATTGAGTAATCCAACAAACCATTCATGAAAGGATAGTAGATTGAATGTTACCAGTGTCATCACGGGCCCAGGCCTGCAGAGGAGGAAAAATTCTATGAGGACTTCTTCTGTAGTAAGGGAGTGATGGAGAGATGGAGGAAGAAGGGAGGGAAGGAAGGAATGCAATAAGTAGAGTGGCTTTCAACTAAGAGCCTCAAATTTTTGACAGAAATAGATAAAAAGAATGAAATGAGTTGAAGAAATTGTCCCTTGAAAGGATATGATAACTACCATTCATCAAAATGTAACCAACATCAATTAACTGTTTGAAGGACTATATATTCATCATCTCATTTATCCTCCCAACATGCCTATGATGTGTAGGTACTGTTATTTTTCCATTTAGCAGAGAAGATAAGAGAAACTCAGAGACATTCACTGTCTCACCCAAAGTCATATAACTGGTGAATTAATTGCAGGTTCAGGATTCGAGGCCAGGTCTGTCTGACGGCAAAGAGTTTGCTCTTCACCACCATGCTCTCCACTCCTGTTCTGGCAGGAGACTGTATTGGATTAGAAAGTTCAGGGCAATTGCTGTCAGAGTTGTGACTCCTGCTGGCCATGATGGCTCAGCCTTCTTCACCACCTAAGGCCCAGGCTCCAGAGCCATTGAGGTGTCCTCAAGTGACACATTTGCTGTGTATGTTCATGTTTTCAGAATTTGGGCAGCACCCTTTTTTTGTAGAGAAATAGGGAAGTTAGGATCTGGCTTTTTAAAGTAGACACAAATAAGAGTTGAAGCTGGTTTAAACATTAAACATTTCTTTCTGGTTTGAGTCAGGGAAGATCTGACCTCTCATTCTCTGAGGCTGAAAAGCTTTTGTCCAAAAAGGTCTTTGCTGAACAGCAGAAGCAGCACAGCCTCATATAGCACCCCTCTATCCCTACCCTTTCCCCTAACCAAGAAGTATATCTGTTGGGTACAGTGACACATGCCTGCAATCCCAGTGACTTGGGAGGCTGAGGTAGGAGGATGACAAGTTTGAGGCTAGTCTTAGCAAATTAACAAGACCCTATCTCAAAAATAAAAAAGGGATGGGACTGCAGCTCACTGGTAAAGCATGCCTGGGTTAAATCCCCAGTACCATACAAAAAGTATAGCTCTCAGCTAGATCTACTTTCTTAAGCTCAGCAGTAGAGATGGGAAAGGGAGAAACCAAATAAATTTTCAGCTGTCCAAGAGTCTGTGCATCATTTTCCTCATTTATTGAACAGTAGCATCTTTCAATGTTAGAAAAGATTAAACCTTTTAAGTCTTTCAGTCAACCCCTGTCTCCAAGCAAGTGAATACCTAAACCATTCCAAACCAGAAAGTATGAATAATATTCATGGGCTGGGGTTGTGGCTCAGTGGTAGAGCACTTGCCTAGCTTGTGTGAGGCACTGGGTTCAATCCCTGGCACCATATAAAAATAAAACAAATAAAATAAAGGTATTGTGTTCATCTACAACTAAAAAGTAATTTTTAAAAAGATTCAAAGAAGAAGTTTCTTCCCCCTCCTCCTGTTACCTGTAACATTGCCAGCAGTCTGAAAGTCTGTGTTCCTCTTTAGAACCAAGCCAATAAAAAAACACTAACCTTGTCTGAATATGAGGTCTGGGCTTGGGACCTTTTGCTACCACACCATGCCCAATCAAAGGAAGCCCACTGATTCTCTTTCATTTTTACTCTGTCCCCTCATTTTCCATATGCAGCTGCCAAGAGCATCATTTCCTGCAGGCCTTGCAGGTATCCCTCAGGCACTGTGGCTCTTGCCCAGACTTGTGCTTTCCCAGCAGTAGCTTGAAGCTCTCACGCCTCTCTCCTCTCCTCTGCAGGAGGCCCCTCTGAGGACAAGCTCCTGGCTGGTGACCAGATTGTGGCTATTAATGAGGAGGACGTGAGTGAAGCCCCCAGGGAGAGGTTCATAGAACTCATCAGGTAACAGGGGCCTCTGAGGCCTTGGCAGGAGCTGAGTAATATTCCCCACCCCTGCCCCACCAGAGGCCTAGGTCTACCACTATCCTCCCTGGCCCTGAAAGACGAGAGTTTCCAGGCAGAGCAGCCCCAAGCCAGGGCTCCTGTCTACCCAGAACTTCAGGGCACAGCCAGTCAGGGTTACCATAAGCCTCACACACTCTGGCTTAAACTTGCTGTGATGATATGAGTAGGCACAAAGAAGAATCTCCTGCTACAGCCTCACCTCTACCCTCCCCAACTAATCTCCTCACCTGAGCTGGGGTTACTGTGCAGTGGGACAGACAAAGTGAGTGTTGAGAGTAAGCAAGTCATTAAAGACATTATTCCCACCTCCTCACCCATCCCACAATCACACACACACACACACACACACACACACACAGAGAGAGAGAGAGAGAGAGAGAGAGACAGAGAGACAGAGAGACAGAGAGACAGAGAGAGAAAGAGAGAGAAAAAATCAGATCCCTTCCCAGTGGATTGAGAAATGGAATCTACTCTTGTAGATTCTGCATTCATTGTTTGTAACGCCTTAATGTCCATCCTCCCCAGATAGGAGCAGGTAAGAGGACAGGAACATTCAGGAGACCTCCACCATCTGTAAATGGAGAGTAATAACATTGTCTTTGCCTGTCCCTCACCACTATACACATTCCACCCACATACTGTGCAAAATCCCCTTCCCCTCACTTATACCACATGTTCATACACTTCCATAGTTTGTTGATAAGGAATGGGAGGATAGAGGTGAAGACTCTAAAGTCCATGTGTTAACGTTGGCTTTCTGCCTATCCTCAAATGGAACCATGTCCTCAATGTATTTTTCCCCCTCCTCAACTTGTATAGTCTGGCTCCAGCCCTGCCTCCATCTCCCTCAATCCTCCATCCCTGTTAATTCAGAGTATTTTCATTCTACTCATTTTTCTGAGAATTTCCAAAGCCCACTTGGTCCCAGAGCCCCTCCCTAGCTTTCAAAAGCAGACTTAGCATTCTGCATGTGGTATAGCACCCTCTTCTCAGCTCTAAAGGGGTTTGGAATGATCCATCCTGAAGTCCAGAACAAGTCTTCCTCAGCATTCTCCCTCCAGTTCAACATGTGTCTGGGCCCTGATGACCTTCAGTTTGCTTCTTCTCCAAGTTCAGTTGTCTATGCATTCTCGCACTCTTCACTCTCCACCCTCCACCACCACATTGAAATGGGGTGAATTCTTTTTACCCCTTCAGGGTATACTGGAATTCTTTAAGCCTGATCTCCTGGAAGTACATCTCTGTACCTAGAACAAAATAGCCTAATATTTTTGAGGGATTCCAGGGCTCTTTCAGGATCAAAACAGAACTTACTCTTTTGATAACTTCAGGGACTGGTGGGTCATTCATTCATTCCATGAATAATTATTCTTGAGCATCTTTTATGTGCAAGGCACCAGTCTAGGCACTAAAGAAATAGCAGCAAGTAAAAGACAAAAATCCCTGGCTCATTGGAATTTATATTCTGGTGGAGACCCACAGTTAGCAATGAACCTGATAAATAATTGTATGCTGTATTAGAATTCAATAAATGTTATTGAAGAATAGAAAGTAGATTGGGGTAAAGAGGGTTGAGAGTGCTAGACACAAATTTATAGATTGGAACTTTAAGCAGCATGGCCAGTTTGGGCTTCATTGAGAAGGTGTCATTTGAAGAAAGACTTGAAGGAGGTGAAGGTGTTGGAGAAAGCAAAGAGCCAGTAGAAAGAACCTAAGGCAGGAATGTGTCTGGCCTGATTGAGGAAGAGGAGAGAGGCCAATGTGACTGGCATCAGCTAAGGAAGGGGAAGAGTTGTGGAAGATAAGTCCAGATTATAGAAAGTCTTATAAGCCATTGTAAATGAATGGGAAACACAACTTGCGTTATGCCCCTTCCCTATTCAAGACAGAGGATTTTCCTTGGTTTTTTCCTTGTAACATAACTCTTCCTGGGAACTTCAAGACCTTGAGGCTGATTCATGCCTGGACTTTGCATGATGGAATATGAGAACTGTTCAGAGTCCTTAGGCAAGGGGCATAGGCATTTCTCAAATACCCAGCATCAAGGCTGTCTTAACTTTACTTCTTGAATGCCTTTATTCCCACAAACATTTGAACAAAGCCAACAAGGAAAGGAGAAGCTCCTTCAGGCAAACTATTTCCATTTATTTTAGTTCTTTTTACAGGATTATGGATTCCTGGGAGAGAATTTTCATACCTCACAGGCTCTTTGATCGCTGGTATAATTCTTGTCGGAAGAGTTTCAAATTTTTCATCCTTTGAATATTTGCTATCTGCAGAGAGTCTTGGCTTCCATCTGTTGCTCCCTGGCTCTCATTTTTTTTTTGCTCCCTCAATTAAAACAAATCTGCTGAATATGAGTCATGATGACCAAATGACCTCCTTTGGGTTTTTCCTTTGAGTTTCTCCTCCTGCTTAAATACCAAATTGCCAATAATCATCGTACATGGTTCCCAGGACCCAGTGGCTGGATGCCCTGTGTGTTCCATAATTCAGGACTTTAGTTTTCCTTGAGAATGTTCTACTCTACAGATAAAATTGCTCCTAAAGTTTGAGGATTTCTACAGAGAGAATGTGAGAAGAAATATAAAAAGAAGACCTGAAAAATGACAAGCCCAGAGGTAATGGTAATACCATCATCAGAGGCCTGCATGAACCAATATGGATGGTTTGTGTAAGCCTCCACAAATGATGAGAGGCAAGGAATCCATGCAGACACTCAGATTACCCCCTGTCCTAATCCATATCCTTGAATGCAACCCAGGGGAAAATTCTGGTGTTGCTTTCTGTACTAGATGAATACCTAGTGCATGATACACTGCTCTCCTGTTCCCTCTTTTCTCTGTAGGAGCGCTAAGGAATTCATCGTTCTTACAGTTCTGCACACTCATCAGGTGAGTGAGCCTCTTTGCCATCTGTTCTTCTTCCTGACTGACAAGAGATGACCCCATATTAGAAAGCAACAGCATGGGAAGAGGGGGGATCAGAGATTAAGACCAACAAGGATGGTCCTAGGAGGCAAGGATGTAGGAGTAAATTTAAAGAATATTTTATAGAGATCTTGTCTACTCTAATATTGAAGGCTAAAGATTTTAAAGGGCTGTACAGGACTGTGTTCTCTCCCTTGTCCCCTGCTTTACCCACTTAAACTGCCTACTGCCTCCATTCCAAATCTACTTCTACTTCTTTTTTGCTGTGTATCATACAAATGTATCTATCCAGTGTCCAACTCTCATAAAGTCCTGGCAGATGGTGGGTGGTAGTCTTATTCATGCATATAAGTATTTACTAAGCAACCTATGACATCTAAGATACAGCACCATATGTAAGGAGTTTCATATAAAATCCTGAGAGGTACAGTTAGACAAAGAGATTCATCTTTGTCCTGGGACAGTCACTAACTGGCTGTGAGAGCTTGGGTGAGTCAGTTCCCTTTTCTAAACCTATTTTTTCATCTGTAAATTAAGAAGTTCATAGAACAGTATTTTTTAATAAGAACACTTATTAAAAGTAAAAATCACCAGGTACAGTGGTGCACTTCTGTAATCCCAGCACTTTGGGAGGCTTGAGACAGGAGGCTCGTGAGTTCAGAGCCAGCCTCAGCAAAAGTAAGGTTCTAAGCAACTCAGTGAGACCCTATCTCTAAATAAAATATAAAATAGGGGGACTAGAGAGTCAAGTGCCCCTGGGTTCAATCCCTGGTACCCCAATAAAAGTAAAAATCTTTTGAGCAGGGCACAGTGGTATGTGTCTGCAGTCCCAGCTACTTGGGAAGCTGAAACAGGAGGATTTCTTGAGCTCAGGAGTTCAAAGGCAACTTGGGCAGCATGGTGAGACTCCATCTCAAAAATTAAAAAAAAAAAAAGAAATGAAGACAGAGCTGAGGGCACTTGTGTAATATGTGTGAGGCCCTGGTTTCAATCCCCATCGCCACCAAAAAAATAATAATTAATTACATTAAATATTAAAAGTAAATATATTTTTATTTCAGGTCTCTCTCCTCAAGTTGAATTCAGAAACCCCAGTGTCCATTACTCACACTTGAATGCTCAAATCAAGTAGGTGTAAAACTTCTACAAGCAAAACACATAGCCTTTATTCCACTTCCAGCCCATCTTTCCCCAGCACTAATAGCCCAACCCCTGGAGGAGGCTACACCTGAAGTGGACCTTGAGGGAGGGGAAGGAATTCCCTGACATGGAGTAAGGAGAAGATTTTTCAGAGAGACAATATATCTGTGCAAAGCCAGCGATGTAGCACAGGTGTGAGGCCTGAGCTCACACCTTAAGAGTCAGGGGGTCAAGGCTCAAATCAAGCCCAACAGTAAATGACTCACCCTGAGGCCCCCAGCCCTCTTCTGAGTCTGTGTGAACTTCACACACACACACACACACACACACACATACACTCATGTATGTGATCATATATACATATATATGCTTACATATACTCTTATATACATGCAATAGACTCACATACACACACATGCTTACATATACTTTCACTTACACACTTATACATTCACATTGTTGGACACCCACACATACAATGCTCCCAGACAGACAGGCCTCACTCAATTACATTCTCTGACTCCAACCTGAAGACCCCACCCTTCCTGGGTGTTATGAATAGTTCCCTTCTCACTTCATTACATGTGTGCAGTTGCCAAATGGTCAATAGGGAGTCAGTTCCCACTCCCCACAACCTCCTGTCTTGAAAATGGCCACCAAGAGCTGGGAGCAGTGGTGCACACCTGTAATCCTAGTGGCTTGGGAGGCTGAAGCAAGAGTATCTCAAGTTCAAAGCCAGGCTCAGCACTGAGCAAGGCCCTAAACAACTCAGTGAGACCCTGTCTCTAAATAAAATATTAAAAAGGGCTAGGGCTGTGGCTCTCAGTGCCAAATGCCCCTGGGTTAAATCCCTGGTACACCCCCCTAAAGAAATAGAAAATGCCTACCAATGGTCCCCCAAAACATGCTTTTTGTATGGTTAGAATATATTAGTCTGATCAGAGACACATTATAGGGTACTCTGTAGGTTAGTCAGACATTTTCTCAAATGTCACCTCTTTGCAGAAACCTTCTTTGACTACCTTTTTTCTTTGGTATCAGGGATTGAACCCAGGGGCATTTAACCATTGAGCAATGTCCCCAGCCCTTTTTGTATTATATTTAGAGACAGGGTCTTGCTGAACTGCTTAGGGCTTCTCTAAGTTGCTGAGACTTACTTTGAACTTGTGATCCTCCTGTCTCAGCCTCCCAAGCTACTGGGCAATTTGCCACAGTGCCCAGATTTGACTACTCTTTCTCTAAGAGAGTATCTACCGTCATTATCTCCTGATACTGCTTAACTTTTAATCATTGGTAAAATATTATAGTTTTAATTTTTATTTGAAATAATTGTGGATTCATAGAAAGTTGCAAATCTAGTACAGACATACAATGTATCCTTTAGCCTGTTGCTCCCAGTGGTTACATCTTCTATAACTATAGTGCAATATCAACATCAGGAAAATGACATTTTTTTTCAATGTGCATATATAGTTCAACGTGAATTTTACACATGCATACACAATGTGTTTCAGATGTGTAGGTTTATGAATCCACCAACACAATCAAGATATTGGGCCAGCAACAAATACATGAAAAAATATTCATCATTAAGAATTAGGGAAATGCAAATCAAAACTACACTGAGATTTCATCTCACACCAGCCAGAATGGCAGTCATCAAGAATACAAACAATACTAAGTGTTAGAGAAAAAGGAACAATTTTACACTGTTGGCAGAACTGAAATTAGTACAAACACTATGGAAATAACTATGGTGGTTCCTCTAAAGACGAGGCATGAAACCACCATATGACCCAGCTATATCACTCCTTGGAATTCATCCTAAAGAATTAAAGTCAGCATACTGTAACGATACATGCATACCCATGTTTATAGCAGCACAGTTCACAACCAAATTATGTAACCAGCCTAGATGTCCATCAACGGATGAATGAATGAAGAAAATGTGGTACTGGGCATTGTGCTGTACACCTGTAATCCTAGCAACTCGGGAAGCTGAGACAGGAGGATTGCAAGTTTGAGGCCAGCCTCAGCCATTTAGTAAGACCCTGTCTAAAAAATCAAAAAGATAAAAAAGCTGGGGGTATAGCCCAGTGGTACAGCACCCCTGTATTCAATCTCCAATACCAAAAAAAAATGATACTGAAAAAGTTTGTCACCAAAAATGTCCCTTATGTCATTCTTTTACTGCAATATCTATTTCCCCTACTCCCTCTGGAAATCCTTGTCAACCACGTCTGCAATGTTATCATTTCAAGACTATTGCACAAATGGAATAATGTAGTATAATATCCTGTTGATGTTTTGGGATTGGCTTTTTTCACTCAGCATATGCCCTTAAGAGTCATCCAACTTGTCAATATTTTGTTCCTTTTATTTTCAAAGGAAATCCTAGTTTTCTGATACTGAAAACTTAGCCTATACCAAAAGAGCCTGAATCCCCAGTGCTTGGAGCCACTTGCCCAGGGGGAAATACAAAATAATGGAAACCACTAGAGAAGAACTGGTTTTGCACAGAGCTTCTTGAGGTATAGTGTTTTTGATAGATGGTAGATACTCAAACCATATTTGCTGAATTAATGAACTAATTTATTATTAATCTTAGCTATCAATTAATATATTTTATGTTGTGCTTACTATGTGCTTAGTACTAGGGGGAGAAATGCTAATATAAAATATAATCTCTTCTTGTACAATCTGATGGGCGAGATAAGCTATATCAGTGTGGATTAATAGGGATACTGCAGGAAATCCAGGGAGGAGAATGGAGGGATTGGGGAAGGATTTAAGACCAAGTTAGAACCTGAACTAAGTTTTTAAAGAGAAATGGCATTTAGCTGGTCAAAAGGGACACTGGGAGCCAAGTGTGGTGATGCACATCTGTAATCCCAGAGACTTGGAGCCTCAGCAATTTAGTGAAATTTTGCCTCAAAAATAATAATAAAAAAATAAAAGTACTGGCCCAGGGTTCAATCCCCAGTACTGCAAAGGGTGGGGGTAGGGGGCTGTGAAAGATAAGGAGGGGAGGGGAATAGCATGAAGTGAATCCAGAAATGGGAATAAACCCACTGTGTGCACAAAACTGTAGGCAGAACCACCAAATGCAATAGAAGGTGATATTGGAGATAGGTGAAGGAGGAGGTTAGAGTGAAGTGTAGCTTATGGGAGGCCTTGGAAGTCGGGTTCATCACCAGACAGTCCTGAGTGAAGGAAGAAAGGCTGCCTGGTACCCTCATCAATGGCCTGGTGAAACCATGACTGCCCTCCATTATCCTAGATGCCCACAATGGTTGCTATGGGAATTGATTGTAAGTAGGCTCAGATGTCAAAGACAATGAGCCAGCAAAAAGGCAAAATCAGAAAACCATCAAAGCTTCAAGCAGGAACCTGAATGCCAGCCATTACAGTAATCAAAGTGGGGCTGTGGACCAACCTCTCCCAATCCCCCCTACCTTCCCTATCCTCTGGTAACCACCATTTAGCTCTCTACTCCTTGAGATTAACATTTTTAAATTTCACAGTTAGATAAGAGGAATATATTCTGCTGTTCTGTTCCACAGTAGGGTGACTGTAGTTAATAATAATGTATAGTTCAAAAGAGCTAGAGGAGATTATCTTAAATGTTCTCATCACAAAGAAACGATAAAAGTTTGAGGTGGATTTGCTGATTCCCCTGATTTAATCATTATACAATGTATATATTATGGTTAGGATGTGAGGTATCCCCCAAAAGCTCATGCATGAAACAATGCAAGAAGGCTCAGAGGAGAAAGGTTGGGTTGTGTGAGTCTTAACCCAATCACTGAATTAATCCTCTGATG